ACCCGCCCAAATTTCTGGGAAAAGGGCACATCCAAACCACAATCCGTATCCCCTGGCGGGTATCCGCTGGCGCTGGCGGGTATCCGCGGCGCCAGGGGATAGCGGGTATCCGCAACGGATACCCCGCAACCATCTCTAGACTGCATGTCTGCCTAATTTTCTTACCAGTTTCCACTCATGTCTTGAAGTTTTGTGGCAGGCTGTTTCACTAGTATTTGATCAATAAATACAGTTACATGTGCAGATTTGCCTTCTTTTCAACACTGAGCAAAATCATTTCATTTAGCTACAAACATTTGTATAAAAACAACCATGATATACATGTTTTTTGCTAGATGTTGTGAATTTGGATACATGTATAGTGATCTACCACATCCCAGTTCAAATATGCACAGTGCCCATGATGAGATTAAGGGAAAAGAATTCAAATTCTCTGGACAGTACCTGTAATGAATAGCATTTCATATTTCTTCCAAAACATCTCAATCTCACCAACTGTTTCTCCTATAGGCCGTAAGATATGTGAGATAAATTTTCCATCCATTTGAAATCTGTTTCCTAAATATTCCTTGCCGAGTTTGTCAACCTGGAATTCTCTTGTGAAACTCTCATGATAATCTTTGATAAGCTTCAAATACTTTGTCTTCATCTGTTTCAATTCTACATCTGATATTTCTAATTTCCTTTCATAAACATAGAATATGTGACTTTTTGCAAGGTTGACATAGTCATTCAGTTTGATGGCACCACCTACAAATTTCAACCTGAGATCAAATTGTTCAAATTTCTTCTGGAGGAATCTATTTTGTTTACTGTTGATCCACTGATTCATTTCTGATACAGGTGAGAGTGTCCTGTTTGAGGCTAACCATGTTTTCTTCATGGAGCCTTCACCTGATTGTGATTGAAATAAATCCAAGATCCCATAAATTGTTTGAGCTTTTGTCTCAGCAGGGAATACATCCCTCCAATATACATTTAGATTATTCTGTGACCACTTTTTGATGATATAATGCATGTTTTTCTTGATTTGTTTTTGAATAACTACTGCCTTTCTCTGATCTTCAACTTCTTTTTCTCTTTTTTCTTTTTCTTCTTGAGTCAAGAGAATTTTTGAGGCTAGATCCTGCTTTTGTTCTACCACTATTTGTTGCAAATCTTGAACCACAGCTTTAAAGTGATCAAAGTTATTTTCTTGGAAAATCTCTTGCAATTTTTCACATACTTTCAAATCAGTTCCAAACCTTTTCCAAATCTCACAGTATTTATTGACCTTGAATCTCCAGAAATGCCATTCAAATTCTTCCCAATTCCTTTTATTTTTGGCTGTGAAAATTGGAAACCCCCATGAAATGAATAAAAATCAAAATCAGATTATTCTAATACATTGTTTTTTTCAAAATGAGAATTGAATTTATAAGACATTAAAGCTCTGCATACCTATTACTTTGATCAAAGGGTGGAGATTCTGTAAATTCCAATGTTTAAGTACAGTACTGAAATGAGTGGCAGAAGATTTGAAACCCTGATGTATATGATTGAATTGGGAATAATCAGTGTCTTCCTTGAAGTGTGCAATATACCATCCAAACCTCTGAAGAACTTCTGTTGATTCAAATATTGAATTCAGTTGCTTGTTTTTGAAAACTTTTGATTTTTTCAAAAATTAAATTGTATCAAGAACACATTTCATCTGCTTCAATTCAATATCTTGATAATTCTCCCTAGAGTAAGAGACCTCTGGTACTTGTATAATCTCTTTTAGAATGATCTGCATCTTCAATTCTACAGAAATCTGTTGAATAATTTCAATCATCTTGGCTGAATTAAAAAGCTTCTTGGTTTCATGTTTTCCAGATTTGTCTAGTTTCGATCTTGGTAGAATGTATGTCTTGATCACTTGATGAATTGATTCAATACTTTCAAAATATCCATTCATTTTTTCCCAGTATTTTTGATGAGATTTTGGATATTTGCCTTCCAAAATGTTTGTTTCTCCTTTAAGTTTTTCAAATGAATTTTGAATGGCATGAAATATTTCAAGATCCAAGATCACTCCTGTGAATTTTAACATTTTAAAAGTGAGTTAGGGATTCTATGCCAAATATTTTTGGAGTTGATTTGATTCACTGACCATTTGGTATGATGGATTCAGATTTTGTTGCTGGTATATTTTGAGATATGACTCCTGGTGATAATTTTGGTTGCATATTTTCTGTATTTTTGACTTTTCAAGGGGAAGAATAGAAAAATACAGCATGAATATTGTGCTTGGAAACAACTTTTCAAAATCTTAAAATTTGAACACACCTTTGATTGTAAATTGTGATACAAATCAATCAAAGGAATCAATATCAATAAGCTTATTTAAATTTACTATGGGAAATGATCAAATTAAATCCAGAATTTTACTCACCAGTTTTATCCATCAAAGATCCATTCTGATCCTGTGAAACCCTGGAATCTGTAGGTTGCTTGGAACTTTTGGTTTTTGAATCTTTTGAATCATTGGACATTTATTTCAGTCCAGGGTGATGTTTAGAAAACAGAATCCAGTAGAAATTTATTGAATGGTGAATTCCATGCAACAGAATCAATAGAAAGCTTGATAAGTTATTGTCATCTGATTCATATATGAAAACTCTTGCTTATCTTATAACATTACCTTATTTGTTTGAAATGAGAATTTTACTCACAGGTTCTATCTACCAGAGAAGCTGTGTGTTCCTTGGCCATCTTCAAATTTGAGGATTGGTTTTTCATTACTGGTTTTTTATAATATGCATTTCAATATTGAAAAGGGAAGATGGATTTTCAATTCAATTGAAAATTTGAAGTTGGAACATACCTCCTTGAGTTTCTAATTTGTGGTTTACTGTTCCTTTTTTGAGAAGTGAAAAGGCATCAAGGGTAATAAAGTAAACCAAAAAAGAGATATCAAATAATGAATCAAACCCCTGATGCATAAATCCATACAAAATTTGAAGCCTTTTGTTGTTTTAGAGTTTCACATACCATTCTGAAGTTCATTTACCACAGTGTTTGCATTTGATACTGAACTTGGTTTTTGGTGGGGAATGTCAGGCTTGATGTCTGTTTTCATGTCAGCTTTTTGCCATCACATGCCATACAATTTATTCCAATGGAGGGTATACAGAAAATTGAGAAATCAATTACTTGGATTGAAGAATAAAGCAAGTTCAAATACCTTCAGAACTCCTTTGTCTTGTAACTTGAAGAACATGCGAGGCCGGTAGTTCCGGTGGAGCTCGTGTGGGCGGAGGTAGTCTTGGAACTCCCGGCGCAGGTCGCGATGGGGGTTTGCTGACAGACTGAACAGGAATTTTGCTAAGTCCATTGCGAGTTTTTCCTAGAGATGAACATTGAGATAAATTAAAATTCCTTCACTTCGAATGAATAACTCAAAATCATCACATTGATAAATGAAGGTATCTGTCTACTTACCATTTTGGTTTTCTAAGGCATTCGGGTTCCCTGATGTAATCTGCGTTTTCAAGATTGAAGATTCAGGGATTTCCCCTATTTTTTCATCGCCTACCGCCAGGATGGAGAGGAGGAAGGATCAGAGTAATAAGAATATTGTAGTTTTTTCCAATTAACATGTGGCATCAATTCAACTGATATGGAGTTGGGATAAGTTTTCATGGGCTTTACCATTTTCTTTCACTAAGAGAGGACCTGGGGTTCAACATTCACATAAACGAGCATTCCTTCAAAGAGATCACAAAAAGTCGCACATACCTGGTTCGACCCTGTCACCTCCAGGTAATATTTCTATTCATGCATCCAAAGTGATTAACCAAGTTAGCAGGGACATGGCCGCGGAAGTTTATTCAAACATCGGCTTATGCGCTTACTATCTAGATTGGTCTTGACCTTTGTGTGGCTTGAGGAACTACCGCTTTCATTCCAAAATCTTATGAGTGAACCCTTCGGTAGCTGGACAAGAGCACCTGTTCCACCTATGCGGGGTAGAAGAAACAGACAAATGAGCTTTCTCTTGAGCCTGAGATCACTTGGACTGAATTTTGAACATACCTGTTGCAATTAGCTCCTTACTACTTGCGTCAGGCATATATGTGACCGTCGTCATTCGATCGGTCACGCCTGGCTTTGCTACCGGGCATCCGGCAGGGACCGCCAAGATGAAAAGGCATACCACCGAAAGGTGTAAGCTGAAACGTTTCAAGCTGCGTTGTGGGGTGCTCATATTGGAAAAATGATTAATCGAACTCCAAGTAGGATTGGGAAGCTTTGGGCAATTGACACCTACCCCGGCAAGTGCACGATGGCACTCTATTTATTCGAGAGATGTCAGAACAACTGGAATTTTGTACACATCGGTGTTCAAAGCCAAGACTTGACCAGACATATGATTCAGTCTTGCCAGTTAGCAAACATGTATTGGTGCCATTGATACGAAGTATTGCCCACCAGAATTTTCGCTCGGTGGGATTTATATAGATCACAGGTTGACACGCTGACACAGAATCCGACACTGCTTTCGACGTGACTGAGCTCCAATGGCAGTAATTTACATGGTCGCGAAATCTGAAAGGGCCTGGCTGCTCCGATAAAGCAGTTTAAAGCCGCTCGAAGTTGCAATTGGTAGAACGTTTTTACTTATTATGTTTTTTTATCAAGTATCTACTCCTCTCAATCACCAATGGTTTCAAGTTTTAAGCTTGATGGTACAACATTTGATTCTGATCGAGAAACAACCCAATCTATTGTATCCTGTTGGATCTTGAATGTACGCTATTAGGTGGACTATGTTTTCAGGCCATACGACCATGAGTGCAATCGATTTTGCCAAGCAAAAAATTAAAAATCAGATGTGCTCTGACTCCTGAGTCTGAGTCTGGAGTGACCAACTTTCTGTGAGCGATTGCCAAGTCTCGGAGATCCCCAGGTCCGGATTACGTCATCCTGCGTCGGATATGGCTCGGATTTGGCGATCGGGGCCTTGGTCATGAATTCCCGAGGCATGGGCATGGCTCCCAACAGCTCCCAACCAACTTCAACACCAATCCATCTGAACGATGAAACAAACGATCCTCGATGCCAATTTTCCCTTCACGGCCGACCGAAGAACCTATCATGTTGCGCTCAAACACGGCGAGGTAGCCAATCGAATCCTAACAGTAGGTACGTGATTGTGATTTGATCTAACTGAAAGCGAGCCCTTGAGAGGAATTAGACTCTTATGCTGATATGTGTAACTGGATCTTACAGGCGATCATGTACGGGCTAGAAGGATTGCCAAGTTCTTAGACCAGAGCCCGAAGGTCTTTGAGCTCACTAGTCAGCGTGGATTTACTACGTTTACGGGTTGCTACTTGGGCGTACCAGTCTCGATTGTTGCAATCGGTATGGTAAATTAATTCGCTCATGCGACCTCGACTTTTCTATAAGCTCTCTACAAACTTGTTTTCATCTTATTACTCATTCACCTTGTAATTTTTTCGATTACTTTATCATGCAACTGACGCAAATTGATGGATACCTTCCAGGGCTATCCCATGATAGATTTTTTCGTAAGAGAAGTCCGGGCGGTAGTGACGGGAGACTTAATAATCATTCGGTTTGCAACTGTCGCTTTTCCTGATTGATTATGGGAGACTCACCGAGCAAGACTGAAGTTATCCCATTCTCTTCTCTTAATGTTAGTCTGGGTTCCTGTGGCACGCTGGTACCTGAGATCCCGGTTGGAAGAGTGGTAGTCTGTTCAAGTAGCTTAGCCATCTGGACGAATTATGATTATTTTCAACTGTCAGATCAAGAAAGGGAGAATTCGAAAGGAACTCCGGCTGGATCACCGTATCTGATGAGCCGGCCGATTGGGTGTGACCAAACACTGCATGATGCAGTGGGTACCCGATTCTTATTGCAGTTGATTTTGAACAATTTATAATAACTAACAGGTCGTGCGGGTTTTAAAATAAATCACATATGATAGTTATACGAAAACTTAGAGAAGACTGTCGATCAAGGGCTTGTCTCATCGGGTGCATTGCATTCATCTGCAGATACGTTCTACGCTGGACAGGGGAGATTGGATTCCAATTTTATGGACCACAACCATGGCTTATTAGATTCTCTCTCGAAACTCAACCCATCACCGGTAACCCTAGAAGTCAGTCCGCCCAAACAGACATCAGTGCTTCCTTGGACTTTTTGTTATTTTTGAGTTTAATCCAAGAAATGGGCTGGAGCAAATCACTAATCTAATCTCTCTTTCACCTGACACCTGCATAGATGGAAACCACGCATCTGTTCCATTTAGCTGCGATCAACCAACATAAGTCGAACCAACCTGCTGATGAGCCCAAGTCAGATCCCAGTAGCTTCTGTCAAGGGAAAGGGCAAATTCGGGTTGCAGCTGCTCATATCACATTTGCTGGACGAATCAGCGGTGACTTTGTGAGTCAATCTGGACATTTACATTTTTGTATTCACTCTTGCCCCTTTTCTTTTTTTTTTCTTGCTAACCGTGTCCATATGCCGTTGATGATGATAGATTGAGCCCAAAGAAGTAGAAAAACTGGAATTTCAAGCAGGAAAAGGATGTTTAGAAACTCTGATCAATCAGCAGGTTGATCCGGCTAATTTACATCCCGTAGAAGACAGTGTTTGGTCTTGCTAAGTATGTTTGTTTTTCCACATTTTACCTCGAGGTCCATTCGAAGTCATCCCCATGGCAGTTAGATATGATGAGATGTAATTTGTTGTGGTGTTGTTAATTGTATTAATTTCACGAGACCCAATAGTGTCAGTTTCTCAGACGTCCAAATAAGTCCTTTAATGCATCCAAGTTGCCTTTATGCAACTCCAGCCAACGCAATGGTAACATCCGGGGGGCATCCGGGGGGGAGGGTGCACTTGCAAAATATGGTCCAATCTTCTTTCTGAGATTCTGCCAAGATGTCTTCATCTGCACTACTTATCATTTTGGACAAGCCTTGATGATGTGGGAGTTCATGCTGTGTGCTGAGGAATGAAGGGAAGGTTGAGTTAAGTCGAAACCTAATCGGATATTTCTTATCCGAACCCACGAGTTCAACCTCCCAAAGTAAATTCACAGCCCCGCATACATCTTGGCCCTGATGCACAGGCCACCACTGTTGACCATCAAGGCCATCCTTCAACCCAGGAACTGTTATCACCAATCCAAGGTTGGACATCAGACTCACAACTATCAACAATACCACCACCACCCCCATCATCAACAACAACAGCAACACACGCGAAGGATGGAAGAAACTCAGACCAAACCCAAGAGAGCTCTCGATTCCCCTCCAACTAAGCTGATCAACACTACTGAAAACCAATCATCAAAACGGCCTTGTCACCAGGATGAACGAATTATCGATAGCACACAAAATACCGACTCAACACCCTCAGTGGTCACACAGGAAACCCCGAACGCAGTGGTCGATCCAGAGAAGCAGTCGAAAAATAACGGACAACCCAACCAACAGAAACCGAAGAACCAAGCCAAGAAACCACCCAAACTTAAGAAGGGAAAGAAAAACAACAAAGCGGATCAAAACCCATTGACGATATCGGAACAGTCTCTAGAATTATCGATTAAAGACTTGATGGGTGCTGAGACTTATGAAACTTTACTCGTCAAACAAAAGAGCAATGACAAGGACGCTCAACCACCATGGAAAGAAAGTGGCTGGGATTTGGAAAAGGGGAAAGAGATAGAGGTGGAGATCTCAGCCTTAAGCAGCTTCGGTTTGTTTTGGTTCTCTTCTTGCACAGAAACACACCCACCCTCGAATAGCTTAGATTGACATTCTGATTTCTTTCTGCAGGAGATGGAATCGCTATTTCGCCCCAGAAGAACTGGGCTCTCATCATTCCATTCTGTGTCCCAGGTGATGTAGTAAGATCAAGAATTTTCAGACACAATTCCACTCACTCGATTGGTGATTTGATTAGTGTTCTCAAACCCGGAGAATTGAGAAATGATTCCTTGGTCAGATGTAAATATTTTGGAAAGTGCTCTGGTTGTCAAGTAAGTCGATCCAAATCCTAACAGGCTGACAATATTTAAATGCTGACAATGTAAATTTTATAACTGATTCCATCTTTCTTAGTATCAAATGATCGATTATCAGAAACAGCTTGACCTCAAACGGGTCGCCGTCCAAAAAGCCTTCGAGCACTTTTCCGGTGAGCAAATGTTCGAAATGCATGTGTATACAGTCAGCCGAAATGATGATGATAATACTCATTAATGTATTTAATTCTTCTTGAATACAGGTCTCGATCAATCTGCAATCCCCACGGTAGAACTAACCCTGCAATCGCCCAAAGAATACGAATATCGGACAAAACTAACACCTCATTTCGAATTACCAAGACAATGGAAGAACAAAAAGGCCACCCAGGTACCAAACCAAGAGTCCGGTCAGGATTACCATAGCGGTCCGGGAGGACTTGCCATTGGATTGGCTGAGAAGGGCCGTCGACGGGTGATCGACATCGAGGAATGCCCCTTAGGAACCAAGACAATCAACGAAAAATTAACCGCCGAACGAACCCGAGTACAGTCGTATGTGAATAGTTATTGCCCTCCACGATGAGCAGAGAAATCAGATTCTGATCTGGTGATGACTGTCGGGCTCTCAAAAAAGTACAATTCAGACCTACAAGAGGGGGGCGACCTTGCTTTTGCGAGAATCATTGATTCCGTTAGATCCGACATCGTCCTCAGACTCACCGGTCGATGACGAGAGTCGAATCTGTGTGACCGATCACAAAACGATCGTCCGAGAAAAGGTTCTTGACAAGAATTTCGAGCAAAACGCAGGCTCGTTCTTCCAAAACAATCCATCGATCCTAGGGCCCTTCATGAGTTATATGATCGAGGAATTAATCCCGACCAAAACTCCTCGAGGAATCGACGAGGATCCTGAGCAGCATGAATATCTGGTCGATGCGTATTGTGGCTCGGGCTTGTTTTCGATCTCCTTGGCTCAGTTCTTCACTAAGACCACCGGCATCGAACTGTCCTCCGACTCCTTACGTTATGCCAAGCGCAACGCCGATCTAAACAAGATCACGAATGCTAGTTTTATCGCCGGAGAGGCCGAGGCGATCTTCAAAGTAAGTCATCACTTTCATGTTTCTGTCCAGGTCTCAGAAAGAGTCCAAATGATATTGACATGTCATCCTCAATGTCCCTCCCCGTTCCCCTACCAACCAAAAAAAGGATCTAAGTTTCCCAGCAGAGAAGACTACGATCATCATCGATCCCCCACGAAAGGGCTGTAGCCAAGAGTTCTTGGACCAGCTTTTGAGCTTCAAACCGAAGCGGATTATCTACATCAGCTGCAATGTCAACAGTCAAGCCCAAGATATCAAGTACATCAAACATCTCTATAAGCTCCAGCGGCTCAGAGGGCTTGATTTCTTTCCTCAGACTTATCATTGTGAATCGGTCGCGCTCTTGCATTTGATTGAATAGTAAATCTGCATTTTCTATTATTATCTCTCATATTCCAAGGATGCTTTGTACATCATCCAAATAATTTAGATATTCTCATGAACCAGTGAGTAACCATTCCTTTTTTATCCAGAAAAGGTTTCACTCGATTCCAATGTTTATAATGACAGTCTGAGTGCCAGAGCGGGTTTCCCTCATAGTGCCTCTTATCCTCCTCTTTCAAGGGATTTGGAGTGGTTATAGAATGATATGTATAAATTTACTGTTGGAGTCAATCATGATCCGTGCCCCCCCCTGTAAAATTTGATACATACATTCTGAGGTTTTAAGAGGATTTGTTGGACTTCCCATTCATCACCTGTGGGCTTCACCGACTGATGAAGTGATGGGGTTGATGAGCAAGATCGATCAGTGACTCTGCTTGTGCTGAACTGGGGTGTCGGTTGGATGATTATGCACTATGATGTCATTTGGGTAGGGTGCAAGTCAGGCTAAGTTAGGTTAAGGGTAATGTTAACAGTGCATACATTTCAACCAGCATTCGAAAACAAAAAAAAAAACAGAAAAAGGAGAACGGTCAAGAGGAAGAAAAGAAACCAAAAAACCAAAAACCAAACAAACCAACGATGGAACACCATCACCTCTTCCAACAACAACAAATCAACCTCAACTTAGACCCACACCTCATCAAACTCACCTACCACCAACACATCGACCAATCACTACTCAACCAACAACACCACAAACCATTAACCAGCCAACAACATCAACACAACAACCAACAACAACAACAAACCATCTCAGAAGAACTACTCACCAAAGAACAGCCAGAGACAAATGACTTCAATACTGAAACCATCAAACTAGAACCTCAAGAAGACCATCAATCCATCCTCCACCCACTCGAGATCATCCTCCCAACCAATCGATTCCTATTTCCTGAATCTGAACAATCATTCACATTTCATCCAACTCAACTTCAACACATCCATCGCATCCGCCAAGAAAATCAAACCTCAACAATTCAGCCGAGATCTCATCATGTCGTCTCAATCGGCAAGATCCCATCCGCCCCTGGAACTCAAACCGGGAAACCATTCGACGATGGATTCACATTTCTTGTATGAGCCAAATTTTCATCATCAAAAAAAAGGGGGACCAGAAGAGGAAAATAAGAATCAAGAAGAATTGATATCAAATAATGAAAAAAAGTGTTTGCTTCTCTTTATTCTCATCTTTTGGAACAGATCCCTCCTTCGCCCCCTTCAAAAAATTCGAATCTCCACGACCAGTCAATCCAGTCTGTCGGATTACCTCAACTGGATCCTAATCTTCTCCAATCCTCTTCAAACCTTCCTCGCAGACGAGTCGGCAGACCCAGGAAAAACCCCATCAATTATAATGATTCAAGGTGTTCGACTCAGTCAAAACAAATAAATGATCTCGGTAAGTCCGCAAACATTACCGTTTTTACTATCATTATTATCAACCTAAAAAGGCAGATCTCCAACAGTTCAAGTTTCTCTTTTTTTTTTTTTTACAGAAAAAAAAGTACAGGACAAAAAACCAGTGATGGAATTGTCAAGTCAACGAGTTGATGACAAACTGAGGAACCCACGTCTGTCTGATGGATCGGGACACCCTGCGCGAGTGATATCCAGCAGTAAACCGGCTGATCCGGAGGCATCGACGACACGTGCGATTCCTGAAAGAACCGGTCCTTCGCCCATGTCGCGAAAAAAAGAACCATGGATGAGCGAACTCAAGAGCATCTATGCCTCCAACTTGAGTAAACGTTCTCCCGCCGATCTCCTCGTCCCATACCCAAAAGTGGGCGATACTTACAAGACGGTCGAAGGCTTCAAGGGGGCTTGTTTGTTGGCTAGTTGGCCTGCTGGTCATGACATGGTGCTTATCCGTCTTTCCCCTCTGTTTCGTTGGCTGTTTGATGCTAATCAACTTTCAGTATTTTCGAAATCTTTGGATTGTTGACTTCTCTCGTTTGTAGCACGTCAGGAATCATTACAAAGCAGATTTATGGGAAAGATGTGTTTTCACGTGTCGGTGAGCTTTCGATCCGCGACAGATGATCTCTTGATTCCTACATTGCGCAAAATAGATCAGTTTCTAACTAACTCGAAGGAGACCGATTACAGACATGATCGATCACCGCCCAAAGGCTTGAGCTGTCCATTTAAGATAGTCGCGATGGGAGACAAGACGAACGGAAACAGATCGCAGCCGGTCGAAGAGTGGAAAGTGATCAAGTCGCATCTAGTCCACCGAAACCATCCGGTAGGGCCAGGGATGTTTGACCCGTTGGGCAAGCGAAGCTATCGGAAACGAGCAGCTGGAGACGACCTGAACGAAACGACCACCAACACAAGCATCCAGCCTCCCAAGAAAAGAGGAAGACCACCCCTTCCGCCAGTCCGGACGCAAATTCCTCCACGCCCTAAGCCGCCCCCATCCGTATCCTTTCCCGCACCGACCGCTCAGACGGAATGGTCAAGACTCAGCCTTTCCCCCTCTTCATCCGACTCTGCCTCAAGTGCATCCGATGTTTACTCTCCTAACGCTTCTAGTAATTCTTCAGCCTTAGAAAACATTGAACCCTCGCGTCTACGGGTCAAATAGTGAACTTTTTCCATCTCTTATCTTCACATCTTTTACCTTCTCCCTGGTGCAACACCACGCTTGTTCATTTATAATTTCAACCATCTCCTTTCATCTGCACAAGCATTATTATTTAGCATTCAATACATGGTTTCCCTGCTTTTTTTTTTCATGACATTTTCTTTGCTGTTTTTAAATCTAATTTGTTATTATTATTTTCAAGTTTTTAGTGATGTGTCAGTCTGACCACCATTTTCTTGTGACACTGGTTGGTTAGTGTACTTGTGTGTCTCTCTTTCTCTCTCTGTTTTGTTTTGTGACTTTGGTATTTGTTTTATGTTTGTTCCATATTTCTCACTAAAAGTTAATATCTGCCTTCCTTTTTGTGGCTGGGGTTCTGTCATGGATAAAACCCACACACATGCACTAATCAACTGCATAGTTGGACACAAGGTAAACATTCTGTTCCATTTTTTGGTCCATACATACAACTGTTTGAGGAAAAGTCCTGCTCTTGGCAAGTAGTTCAAGGCTGGCAATTCATGGGACAATTAATTACATAGTCTGGGTAAACTAACATGGTATGTAGAAAGTGCACTTGAGTTTTTTGATTGAAATAAGAATGTATGTTGTGCAGGTTTTTTTAATCTAACCTGAACTGGAGGAAACTTATGGTACATGCTGATGACCACTATTTCTGCTGAGATATTGTTATAACTAGAGCAGGAATGTTCTTATGACTCAAGGTTGCTCTGATACTTGGAAGCTGATCAATCTGATTTTTGTAAAGACAAGAAAGCATGAAAAAAAAACTTGATTTTGATTATGCAATGATGCATTGATGCATTGATGGATTTAGGATTCAAGACTCAAGGAATGGAAACAAGATGGTAAGAAGCATTGGTGTTACTTTTCTTCTTCTTTTTTTTTACAAGAACTGAAAAGTAACTTAATTCAATCATCATTATCATATATTCTGCTATAGTGATGGTTGATGATCTGGAATACAAGGAAGAAATCAGAATGTTTCTATGTGTGTTTTACATCCAGACAGTCAAACAGGGCTTGCAGCTGATGAATGGATGCATTTTTCTTGGAGAATCCGAGTCAGAGATTTGAATTTCAATGGACCAGATCATGTGTAATCTTCCCATCCCATCTCTATCTACAAATTTTTGGAATCAAGAGTTGGTGTGGAATAAACTGAAAGAAGTGCGACCAGTAACACAGACTACTGGTAAAGAAAAGAGATCTCCTTTTATAAAAACAAAAGAAAATGCAAGCATGTTTCTTTCAATGGAAATGGCCAGAAGATTGTTCTGCTGAAGCAAAGTGTAGCTATACAATCATAAGATGAGTGTGTGTAAAAAAGAGGAAAGGTTGCACAGGTTGTGTTGAAGTTAGTTTCTCTCAACTCACCAATTTAGTTTATGGACTTGGTGTTTACAGTATACACGTTGCGCAAGCTGTTTTCTTCCATTTCATTTCTGACCAGCATCCACTTTTGAGCGTAAATCATGCCAAACTTGAGTTCAGCAGTTGAACTCACATTGCTCATCTTTTAGTTTGATAATCATCATTTTTTTATGTATGTCTAGTCCAAGGTTTCTTGAACAAAAATTGATCAATCAATCACCAAAACACTCAACAGTCTTCTTTTTATTGTCATGGAGATAACAAAGGGGGGGTATTCCGCTGCACATGTCAGGTTTTTACATATATTACATGTGGAGACTGTGGGATATGACAATCTATCTGCATTCAGTTTTCTTTCTCAAATCATGTAATGATCAAGTTGAAGCTTGAATCTAAAAAAAAGTTATGAATTGATGATCAAGGGGAGTGAAAGGAACATTTTCTATTTCAGCAAAAGAATCAGTATCCACGCGAATAGTGAAGCTCAATCCGATCCCAGTTGGCTTTCGACGGCCATTGCGACCCGAGATGCGAGCCGTTTGCGCGCCCGATCGTCCATCCCAGCAGCCTCGAGTTTCAGCTGATCGAGTTGCGAGACTAGGCTTCCAAGATCGCCCAGTCCGTCCGGTGAGCTAGTGGGGAGGTTATGGCCAAAGAGCCTGTGGACCATTTCTTCTACTTCAAGCGAGCTGATTTGCTCATCATCATCATCATCACTGTTGTTGTTCTTATTCTGATCATCCCACGTAGTTGAGCTGGTTCCAGCGCATACGAAATCCGAAAAATCGTCTTCAAATCTGTTGTCTTCGGAGTTATTCAAACAGGATGCTGAATCCGGTTTCGGAGGTTGATCTAGGTTGCCAACGCTCAGGGAGGTCGAGAGAGCTGAGCCTTTGGAGCCAGCCTTGTCGAAATCATCCGGAAATTGGACTAGATTGTTAGGGTTGGGGGGTTGTGGATTGGATGAATGAGGTTCTGGAGAAGGAGATTGAGTGTGGGGTGGTTTTAGCAGAGGGTCGAGTTTAGTAGAGGAAGTGGATTGAGGGGTTCGTTGGATTGAGGGCCATGGACAGCACTGCCAGGACATCGAAGCCTCATCTAAATCCGACGAACCTGATCCAGAAGAGGTTCAAGTCAGTCTCAAGGGCCGAGTAAGTGTTTGAGTTGAGAAGTGATGATATAGGGAAATATAGAGTTTTTCTAGATTGGTGGTAGTACTGACTATGACATTCGAAACCATGCTCAAAACATATCTCATTCCAATCCTGATCCTCTTCCAGTTGTTGAGGATCTAAGTCGACGATCACGATTCGCGACTGGGATGTAAGCTCGCTGGAGTTGAACGACTTGAGGACTATCGCCAACCGATCCTAATCTAGTCAGAAACAGTGCAAGCATCTGAGAGACCCGGCAAACCCATTCTTTTTTTTTTGACAAATTTCCTCTCCTCTCGTAGTGGTCATAGTTCTTACCTTTTCCTGGCTTTCCCATAAGATCACGATAGCCTGCGCTTTAGATTGCCGGCTGGTCTCAATCGGAGAATAGTGAACTTCCAGCAGGGCTTCGTAGTATTTAGTGACCAGCTTCCAAGCCGACCACTGTCGATCGGGATCGAGTTTGATGGGCCCCGCCTGAGACGACGGATCGCCGTTGGCTGGGTTCAAGTGTTGGATTCTAGCTTGGTGAATCATACCTTGAGAGAAAGACGAGGATGAGTTAGTCCTGGAGCTACTTCCAACAGACAATCAGGACCGACTGACGAGTGATGAAGTCGATCGTATGATCCCAAGAACATGATCCGTAGATCTCGACCCTGTTCAAAGCTTGAGTCTCTCCATCCAACATCTTCCAGCTTGAGGTAATTGTAGCAGATCCAAACAGCTCTGGGCTTTTGGGCAGTACAGTTCGGCCAGGCTTGACTCTTGAAGTGTTGCGAATTAAGTTCAGGATGTCACAGGTCCTGGTTGGTTTACCAGGGTTTGACCACACATGTACTATCCTCCTCCTACTTCCGCCGGTGGATTACTGGCTCGATGGTTCTGTCGATCCAGCTCGATGACCCTGACATCAGTTGTCCGGAATCAAATCTGCTGTGAATGAGTCGAAGATGGGCGTTGCCGAGTGCATACACATAAAAAGATGACTTGATAGGTGAGTTCAACGGGCTGCCTGCCAACGGAAAAAGATGACGACCGAAGTCCTTCTAATTTGATCCCCTTGCAAGCAGCCTTCGGTTGGCAGCTTCAATCAAGCCAACTACTCTCCCTGCTCCTGGGAATCAATCATCATCAACCAAGAAGAAGAAATTACCCATTGCTACACAATTCCCTGCAGCTTGATTCGCATGATGATGATAAGATTCAGATTGCAACCCAATTCTTATTCTTATCATTATTCTTATTATTGTCATTATTGCCTTCCATCCCAGCCCACCATCTTATTAATCAGTCAACCCTGCTGAGCCCAGCCAATCCCAGCTCAAACTCGATGACAGCCCACCACGGCGCATTTCCTTTCCTAAGATATACCAACCAGTTCTCCTCGCAGTAGACACTGCTTAGCTCAGGAGTCCCTGGAGTCTCAAGCAAACCTGCAGTCACCGTCGCTCAAACTTCAACTGCTTCAAACAAGTCTTGCGGTCTGATACCCACAACCCCCACCCTTCTTCTTATCTTCTCCAACACTTATATACCTGAAGGCCGCGCTACTCAAGATCATCTGGATATGCCATCCATTTCAGACTCTGACCCTGTCGCACTAGGCATAGCAGCAAGCATCACTATCTCTCTCTTGATCACCGTTCCATTCTTGGTAAGCTATTTCACTAGTTTAGCAGAGATCTAGAGAGACATGCCGGCCTCGAGTGATATCACTGATCTGTTGACTCTCATGATGGTCGGATCCAAAAATTGTAGTGGCCCTTCTTCAGGATTCGCTCCCGGCCGAGCTCTTTCATGTGGAAGGCTGTGTACATCCCTCGGACCTGGTGGCCCGGGCCGAGTCAGAGAGTCCATCCTATCTTTGACCCGTTTCCCGGTGGATCACCCTTCAAATTCTTGTTGATGGTTCTCAAGGGGGCCACTTCCCAACAGAAGGCCTCCTCCAAACCATCCTCGAGACAACAGTCTTCAAACGAGGAGCACTCGACCTTCATGACTGACGAAGAGATCCATCTGAGGTTTCTTGCACTCTGTCTCAGACTAGCCCTTCTGGCCCTGCTCCTAGGACTGCCTACATTTTTCGCCCTCTTCATCACAGGCGTTCCCCCTCCAACCCCAGGTTCCACCAAATTCAGCTCCGTCCAAAATTTTACGGTCCTCAGACTACTTTACCAATACGATCTAACGCCCGCATCTTTCTCGACTCGGTTGATCATCTGGGCAATTGCTGCACTTCTGATAGGGGTCATCCTGGCTTTTCTGCTCATCCTCTTCGAATGGCATCATCTAAGGCGGAATCTCCAGAGGTTCTCCCGAGAAAAATGTGGAGGTTTGCAGATAGTGTATTTCCCCAGGAAGAATCACAGTGGATTTGAGAGCGTAGGGGAAAAGAAGATGGCGAATTGGGTCCGAGCCTGTGGACTGGGCCCAGTTGGTCAGGAGGGAAGTGGTGCAGCGGTTTCAAGCCGTGGCTCCTCTCAAGAGTCCCAAAGGAGCTCTGATGCTTCCAATAACATAGACAAGGCGGGTCTTGACTCAGATACCGCCCCACTTCACGCCTCCGGCGAATCGGCCACATCCAGAAAGTCCAGCAGATGGAAGCGTTCAACCAGGAGTTCCGAGGTGCCACTGCGATCCGAACAAAGGGGTGTCATCATCCAAGGCATCTTCACCATCTCACAACTCGAAGGTTTGTATTCACTTTCAGAGAAACGCAGAAAGGTTCTCAATGAGCTCGAGCTAAATGAGTCCAGATACGTGGCCGGTTTCCTTCCCGAGAATGACGACCATTCACCCACTAAAAAGTCCAAGCGGCAGAAATATCAGAAATCTCGCAACAGAGTAGAAGCCGACGAATCCGTGGACGGACAAGTGACGCCATACGGTCCATTGGGTCTATACAAGCTTGATGCCAAGCCCCGAGAAGCATCCGGACTCGGCTGGAATGACCCTTGCCTTCGACTCTCCCGATTTGAGAGTCATGAGAGTCATGAGACACTAAAGCTTCCTCCCGAAAGATGGGGTAATGAACAATCCGAGTTCAAGAGTTCAGACTTCTACTTTGGAGAGATTATCCAAGACCCACATCTTACGAATGAGATGTATCAAGACAAGGTATGGCTTCTCTCTTGGGATGTCTTGCTGATCCCTAACAGCAGGATACTAATGCTTGATGCTTCATAAATACTTGCAACAAATAGTGGGCGATCGGAAACGAAGTTAAACGACAAGATGATGGTACCTTCCATAACGTTACCCAGGGAAAGCCAGCTTCTCTGAAAATTCAGAAGAGCCATCCCTTGGAGCTAGAAAAATCATCTTTCGAACCTACCCAATTGCTTTATTCTGCTTCAGCCGAAACAAGTACGATTGGAACGCCTAGATCATCAATGGCCCCCAGTCATGCGGGATCTTGGCCACAGCCAGGTCGTTCAACTCCCTCAACTCTAGCTTCTAGCGATGACACGCACGCCTATCCACCTCCCTCAACCGCCCCAACCTCGGCGTCTCTCAGTCATTCCAATAGCAGGCAGACACTCAAAGACCACAATAGCACATCTGTCCCTGCGGTTAAGCTTTCCGACCTAATCCAACAGGAAGCTGACAGCCGAGATCGGCTAAGCTTCCCCTTGGAGCCATCACCCACCCCCTTGCATCCTTTAACCCACTCAGTATCATCTCCAAACCTCCTCAAGTCCCCCACACCGGCAAGATCTCTCAAAGGAAATGTCAACCGAAATTCGCAAGGAACAGAGCTCATACCCTATCTATTTGAGCTACCTGCAACAATAACTAATCAAGATATCCGACCAATGCCTACACAGTCAGCGACAAAGAACCATAATAGGAATTCGAAGAAATTCCTCAAGCAACCCATAAAAAACAGGAGCGCTTCCACGGCTTATCATGAAAGGCAGGTGAAGCCACACAGGTTCATGAACGCCGAAGAAATAGAGAGACTGTATCACTCCATCAGGAAGAACCGCTCTCAGTTGAAGCGTCTCAATCAGGAATTCCAAGAGGAGAAGCGCAAAGCTGTGGAGGAGATGGAGGAGGGACTCAACGGATCAGTTTTCGGCTGGATACTGGTGGGCAAAGGTGTCGAACTGATCGAGGGCGCTCTCCCTATTGATGGCATGACCCGCGAGGACATCAATTGGCATAGCTTGGGCAAAAACAGTCGTTTGCCGTTGTTTTGGATCCTCTTTTTGGGCATTTGTTTGATCGTTGGAGTAATCAGTTAGCATGTCCCCCCAAGTATCTCGTTTTGATGCTATCAGGCTCATTTTTCCCCCTCCTTGCCATTTTCCCCAGTTGTCCCGATCACCGTCCTATCGATGGCCGCCACGCCAGAGGTCCCTAACGCATCCCCAGTTTTCGTCTTCTTGCGCCAACAAACTGGACTTCCGCTCGGTTTAATTTCCATCACCGTCCCCTCCATACTATTGCTCATTCTGCTTTACCCGTCCCTTTCAGCTATTTCATACCTCGCAATCAACGTTTCCGGCATTCCGTCTAAAGCCGCAGGTCAACTACTTTCGATCAAGGCGATCTTCATCTTGATTTGTGGCTGTTTTCTGATCTGGTTTCTGGTCTGTGCGAGTATGATCAACCTGGTCCTCCAAGCCGAGGAAGAAGGCGAAGGTCAAATAGCCATCATCGACCGATTTTCAACCAATATTCTTGCACTCTCCGATTCCTTTTTGTCCTTTCAATGTATCTTGGCTATCATCATACCCACAATCATCTTGACTCAACCCGAAAGATCCAAGAAGATTAAGAAGGCTTTGAATAGTCCTCAAACCCCTCGCCAAAGGGTACTCAGTCTATGGCCT